AACAAAGGGAGTTATTTATAACTAGCAAATTGCCCATCAAGAATGATGGGGGGTGAGGGGGGGGAGCGGACAGGAGCACCACTACCCACCAGCCTGCGCTGCCGCCACTTGCCAGGAGGCAGCGGGGGTGGGGTGGAGGGAAGCTTGCCCTACTGTCCCCACTGCCAGCACCCCATGCCGCTGCTGCATCCAAGGGGTGGTCTGCCCCTCCGCCCCAGACCTGCTCCTTGGAGACAGGAGCAGATCAGAGTGCTGGCGGTGTGGTGCTGGCCTTGACCCCTCCTCCCCCCCCCCCAATCCCCTCCGTCATGGCTGTGCTCCGCCATGCCAGTCCATCCCTGCCATTCTGTGTCCCCCTCTGCCAGGGATGGACTGGCACAGCAAAACACCGCCATGATAACAGGAATGAAGCTGGCCAGTGCCGCTGCCACCACCAAGGAGCAGGGCTGGGGGGAGGGGAAAGGCCACCCCTTGGACATGGCAATGAGACAGGAATGTGGGGATGAGGCCACCACTGTGCTGCCAGCATCCCACACCACCAGGACATGGCCAGGGCATGGCCGGGGCAGGGGGGGCACAGCCACTCCTTGGATGCAATGGCAAGGCTGGAGCAGGGGGATGAAGCCAGTGCTGCGCTGCCAGTACCCTGTGTCATTGCCATCTCCAAGAAGCAGGGCTGGGGGGTGGGGGGTGAGGCCCATGCCTCACCCCACCCCCGTGCCACTGGCCTCACCCCCCACTCCCTCCGGCTCCATCCCTCTGACTCCAAGGAGCACGGCCGGGTTGGTGGGGTCGCCCATCAACCCGGTGGGCGGTTGGGGTTGGTGGCCCCCCAACTCCAGCCCCTCAATCCCCACTGTCATGGCGGCGCTTCACCATTTGTGTTTGTGCAGAACACTCTGATTGGTTGTTTCAGTAAGCATTGTGATTGGCTCCCAAGACAACCAATCAGAGTGTTCATAAAGTGTTATGGACATACAGACAGAAAGATAGACTAAAGCTTTTACCTACCAGACACAAACAACATGCTTTGCTACATACAGAAAATAGAAGGCCCAGTCTTTACCATGAGGAGCTGATAACTTCTCATCTGTCAAATGTCTCCTCTGCAAAACAGCAGGGCAGTATATACTCCTTGCACACCCCAAATGTGGAAGAAGAAGAATCAGAATGGCTGGAGCATTAAAGAAAGCTCAGAGCACCATTATACATTGTGGGTCATCACAGGCAGTGGAAGCTGGGAGGCCCACTGTTCTACCTTTGGAGTGATGTCACCCCCTACATACCTTCCTGAGTAATGATGCTTTTTTACTTACAAAAGGTCTTGGGTCCTGCTCAGCTGCTCCCATATTATTCTCGACAAACAACTCCATACCCAGTGAGTGATTTTGCCCAGTGCACATAATATATGATTTAATAATTTTCCAAATATGCTTAAACAGTATTTTGATTAAACATGTAAACAATCCTCTAAAACACAACAAACAAATAAAAATAATTGGCTTTTTCACCCCCAGTCCTAGAGTACGTTTAATTATCAACTCTTCAAAAAAACTGAGCATTGCGTTTACCCTGATCATTTTCTGCTTACATTAAATTAAATTAAACAAATAAACTACATAATTTAAACATGTAAGTACTTGGTTTCTAAGACAAAATATTCTTGTTAACCAAATATCATGCACTATTAAAGACCTATTCTATTTTACTTTCTATATTGCATAATTTTTTGACTTCAAGAGTCTACATACATTTTGTCTGGGTCAACTTCACATGGATATGAAGAACTGCTTATTTATGACTTATTACACTTATACTCTTTTATGACTTATTACACTTATGCTCTTGCCCCCACCATATATAAAGATATATGTCATACTATTCATACATATTTACACACACACATTAATTACTTCCTATCCTCCTATTTTTATACACACACACTTACTTTTCCCATCCTGCCTGTACAAGTATGTGCCATACTTTCCTATTAAGCATGTCCACATCTTCGTCTTCACAACAAAGCCCCCTTTTTATAGGCCACTGCCCATTTTAAATTCTCCATTTGTGTCCACAGAGGAAAAGCAAAGTTTAAAAGAGATGTTGATTGATAAGTGTGCTTTAACTGGGATCTGAACAGAATTCCACACATACAAGGCAAGGTGGACAAATACACGGACCTTAGAGTAGGAGAAAGAAGTGAATTGGGCACTGATAGTGGTGCTTAGCAAAGACTATTGAAATACTAGCCAATTGCCCATCAGAAATGACGGGGGGTGTGGGGCAGCAATGGAGTGCTACCACCCACCATCCCACACCGCCAACGTCTCCCAGGAGCGGGGGGAGGGGAACCTTGTCCTGCCGTCCCCTCCGTCCCCCTCAGCCAGCACCCTGGGCTGCCTGCAGGGAGCAGGGGTGGAGGGGGGTAGGGTGTGAAGACAGGGGTGCTGGCCTCACCCCCACCCCTCCTGCTCTGTCCCTGATGTCATGGCAGTGCTCTGCCACACTGCTTGAAGCACTCTGTTTCAGACAATCAATCAGAGTGCAAATAAAGTGTTATGGACAGACAGACTAAGGCTTTTATAATATCAGACCGTCTTTACTCTTCCACAACATAGTGAAATTCTGATGTGCTACGAAATTCTGGATAGGTGTTTCTTATCCAGAACTGAATGTTTCGGAAGATGTATTACTTTAATTGTAATGATAAAATGCTAGCCAATGCTGCTGCTTCTTATGAATACATTCAAAAGTGTCAGCTATGGCAGCATAAGGGGTAAAGTCTGATTTTTTTTTATTAGAATTCCAAGAACCTGCCAGGTATATCTGGAGACATACAAATCTGTGCAGTATCAGAGGTCACAGCTTGTTACCAAGACCTCTCTGTGCATGAGACCACAGTAAGATTTATGCGATTGCCAAGGTGTGTTTGAAGATACTGTCAGTGTGATTTTTAAAGTGGAAAAAAATACAACCTTGCTAATATCAATTAGGTGGAGGGAAAAGTCAGCCAGAAAGCATCATTCAACTCTCAGGCACATGCTGAACATACAGAAATTGCATTAGATTGAATCCATGAGAGATTACAAGGTAAAACTGGCGACCAAATTAATAGAAGAGAAGGCTGAACAAACAACACTGAAGGTACACCTCTTAATGGAGAGTAAATGCAAATTTATTATGGTGTTTGAGCTAATCCCACTGAATCCTCTGGATCCAAGTCCAGCATAAAAATCCTAAAACTTTTCACAAATACTTTGCATTCAGAGATAGAATTATACACTAAAATGCCCACTGCATACACTGCACCTATGAAAATGTTCCACTGTAATAAAATGAGCCAAAGTATTGGTACCTAAGCAATCTGATTAGCTGTACCTGGTACCACTAATCATTTAATTGTAGGGAGATACACAGTAGCAGTTTACCACTAATGTGCAATATGAAGTTACAATTAGATAAATCATAGAATTCAGATCTTGATACAGTTCTAAATTCAAGCAAAGGGTGGGAAAGATGGAGAAAGAGACTTCAGGTCTGCTGTTCAGTTCAGTTTTATTACAAGTTACATAGAAAGAAAAAGAACCCAGATGGTTATAAGTTTGATCCAAACTTTTTTTTTTTAGATATTGAGGCTCAGGGCCTAGCCCTCCAAGTCTTGTAGGTGTTCAAACTGAGATCTGGAAATATAGAAGTCCTGTTTTTAAAAGTCATATTATTTTGACTTACTGGAAGCTGAGCAAAAATAAATATCATGAAATACATACTTGCCAATAAGAATTCTAATTATCTTTTGTACTTTAAAAATATAAAGCCTATAATTTTGACTACATGTAATCACCAAGAAAAGTATGTTTCCTGAAAAAATATGTCTTTCGTTCTCCAAGCACCCAATAGTTAAGGAACAACCATCCTGCCTGGTATCTCAAGATAAAAGCTGCTGTGTCCATGCTGTGGTTATGATTCTCATCCAAAGCAGTGGTGCGCAGTATTAAACCACACTATCTAATTTAATAGGATTTACTTGAATGTCCACCACTACACTCCTGAAACTGTCACCCTACCCTTTATCAAAATAACAAAACAGTCACTGAAAAATACTGAAATAAAAGAAGAGGTAAGTATTTAGGAATAAATATTCGTTATAAAATTCAACAACTGACAGTACGAAAGATAATTATCAAAGAAAATAAATAACTTTATTAAACCTCTTTCCACTCTGTTTTCTGGATTGTAAATGCCTATTACCTAAAATATACTGAAGAACTACCTCCTAACAAGAACCCCCAGAAAGGCTCTTGCTGTTAAATAAATGAAACATGATTAGCCTTGACTTAATTTGTGCCCTTGGGCATATATCCCCAAATCCTGGTAAAATAAAAAGGTGTTGCACATGCCCATCTGATGGCAGATGTGGTTTTGCTGCTCAAATTGTGCTGAATAATTAATATAATTTTAACCAGGAACTCACTGTTTGGCCACATCAGGCATTCTTGGATGTTCCTTTTTCTTTGCTTCCACAGGTGATTCTACAGGAGCAAGCACTACAGCAGCACAGGAGACTATGGACTGGCATGAATCTTCCCGACAAACTGCAAAGACAAAATAGAGTTTAAAAAAGGGCACTCAGAGTTCATTTTAAATATGCAGTATTGGGAAGACATTAACAATACAATCAAGAAAGAAAATAAAAGACTGATCAGACTTCAATTGCTGTAACAGTTTCACACTATCTAAAGCCCAGGTCTGGTCAGTCTTACTCTAAGAAAACCCATGTCTATATGTTTACATGTGGATTTACTCATCCAGTAGGTACACTCTGGGGTGCCAGAATCTGACACTACCCTGTTTTAGTCTATATTCGTCACAAGTTAAAAATTGCAGCAGAAATAAGAATAGCTTAAATAAAGCAACATTCCCCAAATCCCCTCCCTTTTAGATATTAACCAAGCAATAATTAAACTCCAAAGCATGAGAAGGCTTGCGAAGTTTTCTTTAGCAATTATTCTTCATTTTCAGATACTAAGGGTCACAAGAGGCAAATAGCCTTCATTTATTTCCATTATTTTACTAATTATCTCTATTATAACAGTGCCTAAAGGGCTTAACTAAAACCAGGTCCTTATGGTAGCAGGCATTCTAGGGATGTAGAGAAGGAGGCCATTTCTACCTGGAGGAGCTACCTAATCTAGTAGATGGACAAAAGGGTGCGTCCAAATGAGCACATATGTGCCACTTGCAGCATCTCAAACCCCTTTGAGACGATGCAAGACACACGTGTGGGAACAAAAACACGTTCCCTGCACTGCAAATTTGCGCCACAGGGGCACAATTAGACCCCTGGATATCCAAGTGTCAAAAAATGCCCTGGGGGAAAAAAGCAAGGCAAGGCATGGTCCTGGACCGTGCCCTGAGGCAACCGGCGGCTCGGTCCTTGCCTCAGTGCTGAAGCAGGCTGCCTACCCCATCACAGTTCTGGGAGGAGGCAGACAGAATTATTTTACCCCAAGTGGCACAATTTGCTGCACAACAAAGTGCATATCTGGGCATGTGCGCTGAGGCAAAAAGCCCTGGCTCAAATTTGCACTGCTTCTATTTGAGCTCCTGCAAGTGCACATGCTTGCATGTGTGGATGCGCCCAAGCAGAGGAGAGAGGGGAAGGAAAAAGCACAGGTGGTGAAGTAAGGCCATGGACAAGCATGAATTTGAAGCTCTTCTGAAGAGACCAGAGCCTCAGGAGACCAGAGGCCGAGAGACATAAACGGATTCTTGGCGGGCAGCAAGAAGGATTTCTTGAATGACTCTGAACCTCCAGAGGCTCTCAAGCACAGCCAAGAGCACAAGACACTGTGCTCACTGTCTGTTTGTTTGCCTTGCACACACGCATACACACCCTCACTCTGTTGGGGGGAGGGAGGGGGTGGTAGGGACATAGCATTGTGGGATGCCAGAGGACCAAGCAACCTCATGTCACACAGTGTGGAGTGCGCAGATATTTCAAGAAGCTCATCAAAAGGAAGTGCTTCAAATATGCTCTTTGATTTTTCAGGACCGTTTTTTAAGCACTTCGGCTATTTCTAAAGTACTTCTTCTGCTGTGCATGTCTGCTTGCTCACTGTTTGGAGGGCTTTAAAGCTCTTCAAACATTTCACCTATCAAGGATCTACAAGGTGTCAAAACACAGAAATTGCACAAACAGGAAGAGGATCAGGTCTCCTCAGTTTAAGGTTAATGCTTAACACACCGTACCATGCTTTCTCTCAGTTGTCACTCAGATACATATTGAGCAGTATTAGGAAGCCTGGACTATTTGTAGAACTGGGAACATGATAACTTCCCTCTGCTGTGGATCTGGACCAATAATTTCTAACAAAAGAATCCTCAACTATATGTGACCCCTAAGAGAAACTAAACTATATTTGTTTCAAGCATTCTCAAATCTAACCTGCACGAGTCACCAGTAATTTAGCACTTAACTAGTCACCATTCACTGCTATGCATTTAGGAAGATATAGATTTCCTTTACAGCCACGGCCTATATTTATGAACTGAATAAAAGCTGGAAGTAAAAATCGGTTGTACTGTACAAAGTGCAGCAGCTTCTTATGTAATAGTTTCATAAATGCATAGCTGAGTATATCATATATAAGCAAGATCACTTAAAATGCAGTGACCCATTTTTTTAAAAAGTTACCTTTTTGTATACAAATTAAAGCACATCAAATCTATTTTAGACAGTGACAGGGTAAAGTTTAAAGGAATGCGTCATATCAGTCTTAGATTCTAAGATGACTGGCCCAGAAAGCTTCCCATTTCACTTAAATAGAATCCTTTAACTGGAGTAGGCTTTATATCTTAATTTCCTCCTTATGGGATGACTAAATTCATCTTAATGGATGAGATTTCTCAGAAGAAATGGAGGAAAATTTGTGTGACCAATTACAATGAAAGCCAGCCTATGAGACCGTCAGATGTTTTTACGACTGGACTCTTCTTTAATTGTCTGTGAAATATTCACAAACATTTTGTTGAATGTTTACATTCACTGGCATATTCATCATGTAAGTGTTTCCCAGCACCAACGGTCAGTTTTTATTCTGCAATATCCTTGTGTAAAAACTAAGTTATTTTTTTTCAGTATTAGCATGACTCTGGTCAAGTGATGCATAACTGGCATGTCTACACATGCAAATACTGCAGGGTGGGCTTACTCTAAATTACTCTAGAGTAAACCCATTCCGCACAGGCATCTACAAATGGGGGGATGTAGAAGCAGATTTGCTGCTCTTGGCAGCAGTCTGCTCCTGCCACCTCTGGCCCTGCACGGGACCCCTGCAGCAACCAGGGGGAGTTCTAAGCTCCTACCAGGGGCTGCAAAATTTCTCCCTATCTCCAGGGAGTTGCCTGCTGCCAGGGTGGGCTCTGGTGGTGAAGCCCAGATGGAGACAATGTCCTCCTTCCCTGGCATCAGGAAGCTCTTGGTTCTGGCTCCCTGACTGGGGGAGCAGGAGGCTGGGAAAGAGCTGCAGGGGAAGGGCAGGCCCCACCTCCTGCCCCAATCCACCAGTGGGGCAGCTAGCAGTAAGCCCCTGCCAAAGCCTGGGCAAGGGCAATTTCCCCCTGTCCCAGAAGGAGGCAACTCCCAGCCCCCTCTCTGCGATTGCAGAGCAGGGTATGGGAGCTCCCTGCTGCAGGGGCAGGTGAACATTGTCTCTGCCCGGACTCCGGTGGTGGAACCCACCCTGGCAGCAAGCAGCTCCCAGGGGCATGGAGCAATCTCCTGTTCCCTGCTGCCCAGCTGATGAGGAACAAACTTGCTCCTGGTTGGTCATCTACACATGCCATACAATGCAGTAATTACTTGCAAGTAAATCTGCTACTTGTAATTACAGGTAGCAAATTTACTTGCAATTAGAGCAAATCACTGCATAGTAAGCATCTGCACATGTAAACGGTGATGCTTACTGTGCAGTAATTTGCTCTAAACTCAAATGCAGCACCCCCTGTATACACACCCAATGAGAACTATTAACATAGATTACAAAAACATTACTTGTGACAGTAATAGAAAAAGTAATATATATTTCACTTTAATATCCTTTTCTATTCTAATTTAAGAGGGTGACAATGGCTAGTCGTACTAGCTCAGGAAGCTGAACTCTGTCTGAAACTGTGATAAAATAACAACAATCCTGATTTGCTGTTCCTCCACAAGGATATAAGACGAACGAGCCCTTCTCCCAGCCGAGATGATTCCGTCTTCCAAGTGGCTCAAGATGTATTAAATAGGACAAGGCAGGATGAGAGGGAGGGCATGGCTTGGTGTCGTCTCTATTCACTCCTCATGCTTGCCTATTCAGTTGTGCAAGAACAGGAGTAGCAGCTCTTCTGTCTGAAGAGGCCAGTAACTCACAAAGAAGAATGAGAAGACATGCAGCAGGGATCATGACTAAACCATGAATGATTAAACTAAAGAGCAGACAAGGCCTAAACATGGACAGCAATTCAAAAGATTTTGGCATGAGAATCTGTACCATGACCCTTATATATAGTTCAAACAATTTTGTTTGACTACAGTTGACATATTCCAGGATTCTTTAGACTTGTATATATTTAAGAGCCTTCTTGAATTGTTTATGTGAGCTAACAGAAACAGAAATGTCTGTTTCTCAAGTGTCATCTTCATCAATTGCTTAAACAGGTGCTTCATGACTTAGTTACTATCATACACATTGCACACCATAACAAGATTGAATTCATAGACAAGTTCTATATACTTCTCCCACATCTGGGATGTTAACTATAGGCATTGACAAATAAAAATTAAGAGGAAAACACTTTGGGTTATAATCATTAACTAAAATCAGGTGTGTGAAAATGACAACATTCACATCCCACTGGCACATGGATTACATTTGGCAAATGTATGTCAGAGAATACACGTACCAGGTAGAACAACTGGCAGGATTAAGACCACCCCATCAAGACGCAAAGCTTGTACATCATGAGACTGAGCATAACCTTTTGTTCTTAATTTAATGGGAAAAGTGGTACCATTTGAATATTTAGTTTTCTAAAGTTAACATAAAACTGAACAGCCAGAGCTCTCTGATCCCTACTTTAAAAGCGCCTACAGAAAACGTTCTACTTGATAACCTGACTTAAACTACAGAGGGCACGTCTATTGCGCATTAGCCCAATAACACTGCATAATAGCGAGGTGGTTAAAAACCATGCTAATAGCCTATTGCACAATGTTATTAGGCTAATGCACAGTAAGCATCATAAAATAACCATACACGCATCGAACTAGGAAGACATTAAACAGCATCCTACTTCCTAGTAGTCCACTTTTAATGAGGCTTGGAGACTACAGTAGTTAAGGTCACATATAACAGTTACATTTCTCTTGGGAGAATTGCCATTCTTCTGTTAGAAGCTAGGAACATACAGTACCATACTTCATTAAACAAGTACTAAACTAAATGCACAGTAATTAAGGAGCATTAAAGATTGTGTAGATGTGCCCAAATAGGCATTCATGTCTAGCGATAGGGATTTCAGAGAAATTCTTAGAAAAATAGCCTGAGAG